CTATGGTTTTACATGAGTTCATAAGTTCAACTTCATCAGAGTAGTTCTATGAGTTTTCTAAGCATTATGGGAAACTGATAGAAGTCCCAAAATGCATGCAGAGTGATATAACCTGTTTTTCGACAATACTTATGAATTTTGAGTAAAAGCTTATCGACAAGGATATTTTTCTTGTTTTTTTTTTTTTTGAGTGGTCATAGATATGCTCAGAGTAACAGCCGGAAGGCAGTAAAATCTAGTCCCACTTCTATGCTATGCTTTATTTTGTTAAATCTCTCATGCTATATATTGCTGAAAGTTACAAACGTTGCAATCGCTTTAGTACACTATTGCATCCATCAAATTGGATAAGATTTCATTTCTTTTTTTGAAAATATTTACATTGTGTGTTATATTAAATATACATAAGATATATCAAGTTACGTTAATACGCACTTTTAAGAAATTTTTATGGCTACACACACCGTGGTGGGTTTTTAAAAATAAAAAGAAATGCGGGTCTTGATTGATTCTCTTTATTCCGATATTATGTTGATAAAGAAACCCGTAAAATCTTTACAGGAATATTTGTTTAACATCTATCATCCGGCGGCAGACTATCACAATATTTTTTTCGTATTTTGCTAAATAGTGAGAACTATTTATTAAAATCCAAAACGATGATTATTTTCCATCCGTAAGGAATTTTCATAAATACTTGGACATTGATTTTATTCTTCTTGTTCTTCATCATCGTCTCCACCCAAGTATGCTTTCATCAAACCGGGTGGTATCTCGTATTTTTGGTTAAATGTTAAAAACTACAAAATAAGAAAAAAGAAGAAAAAATCAATCATTAAAATTGTTTAAAGAAAATCTGTTTTTTATTAGGTGCTTGCATGTGCTTTGATCATTTTTTCATATGAAACCGCCATTTATTGGTACAATATATATTAATGCAAATGTTTTCCATCATTTTCTACAATCTTTTCCAATTTTCCTGGCAACATGGTAATTCCCTGTTTGAAGAATGATATTGTTTTGGCAGCGATCCAATCATTAGCCCATTTTCCCACTTCTTAAACATTTCGAAATTGCGTAACAGCCAAGCTCAGTTCTATCGATCTAAGCAAATGATAATTAGAAGGTGCTATATCTGATGACTATGGTGAGTGCGGCAAAACTTCCAATTCGGGCTGCAACAGTGTATCCCTGGCAAGTCTTACAACGTGTGACCGAGCGTGCTCACGCAAGAAGAGGATGACTTTGCGTCTGTTAATTCCTATTGCGCAACAACAGCAGCTTGTAATACACCACACCTCGCTAATTCCCTCATGTGCAAAGCATGGCTTTATGGCCATAATATTCCGCTTCGATCTTGATGGCTCTCCTGGACTACTAACCCGTTCTTTGAGAGTTCGGAGAGGATTTTCATTCAACAAGTGTTGCAATTCATTATCTTCGAAACTTTTTGGCCCACCTGGCCGTTCTTTTAAACCCACAACTGGGATGCGATAGGGCAGGATCACCGTAAAGCTTCTAAAAACGTTTAACGGGCGTCGGGAGCAAATGCCGAAAACGCAATACTGAGTGTTCCATGATTAGCGTCTGTATACATTGAATAAGTCAATAATACTGAGAGGGAAACTTTTATTTTATGTAGAAAAAGATAAAAATCATTGTTGTTTACTACAACACTTCGCTTACTTTACCATTTTCAATAATAGATCAAAATACATGCAAGCATCTATTGAAATACCTTTACCTTCCTCGGACGAATTTTAATAATAGGATGCTGTCTAAAGTCAAGGCATTCACACCTCATTCGTTTGCCAGGAAACCTTCGTAAAAGAAATTAAACGTTTTACTAATTTTAATATATGTCTTACAGAGCTTGCTGGTCATATTTTTCTTTGGGCTCCGATGGTAGGAGCTATCGGAGCAAAAAGATGTCTTTAATATATGCCCACACATTTCCCTTGTCTGCCTTTCTAATTTTATCAAAATTATTTTTCCCATTTCTGTGGAAACTTCATTTGGTCTAAGTTTATCAATGAACGAGGACCGAAAAACGCTTATAAATTTTCTTGACATCACTGAGAGGAATAGCAGGTCTTGTCTGGAAATAAGCACTAGCCACTGATCAATGATTATGTACACTTTTCTGCAAATATTGAACTCTTTCGTTTTCGGGGCCCTGACGACAACAATAAATAAATAAATAAAAACGAAGACCAACTCAGTAGTTCGGATGAACATTTCTGTTTATTGACACAGAAACAATATTTCAATATTTGTAGATCTTTTAAAGATCAGTCAGAAGATGGAAGTATATAGCCTAACCTAGTTTCTTCTTCCAGTTTTCGGTTGTCCCGTTTATTAGTGATGTTCCGAGTCTCCTACGTTATAACTTGACAAAGTAATTCTTTTTTGAAAATAGGGATCGAAGCAAATGAAAAACTCTTTACCGTATAAATCGCTATAATGATAAATCTGAAATGTGTCCGTCTGTCCACGTTTATATGCCTTTTTAAATATTTCTTGTTACTTACTATCTCAAAGAAATGAAAAAGGATTGGAAAGCATTTTTTAATTATACACTTGGAGCAGTCCATTTTAGCAAAGTTACTGATGGCTTTGCCAACAAAACGTTTTAGATAATCCTCTTTCAAAAAAAATTTTAAGGAATTGTAAAATACCTCCTACTTGAATTTGTTTGAACTTATTCTATAAAGTCTTAGATCGATATTTTCTATAAATTATTGAAAGCCAATTTTTGAACATCACTTTATCATGTCTGCTTTTAAATTTGATTTGAAGCTTAAGCTGATCAAGAATACATTTTGTACGCTCCTACCCTACCAATTATTTTGAATATATTTTTGAATATTGTTATCGGGATGAATAGTTCTTCAGTAACGGAAATAAAAAGAAACTTACCTTATATCATCACGAGTAAAAAGTGATCGGACAGTCCACAATACCGCACCAACAATTCCAACTTTTAGTATCACTATCATTGGCCATAGCTTAAATTTATTAAAATAAAAGAGAAAATGTACATATCATTGATCATATTTAGAGTTCAGTTCTGTTGGGAATCTTTGCTATTTCCTACGTTCTGTATAGTCCATTTATATATTCAGCTATCTAAGCTACATGCGATGTTTTGCCGCGCAAAAAAAGATAGAAACTTTAAATGATTTCTTTAAGTTCGAACCAAAACCGCTTTTAACTGTTCTAGGACAATTGACAACAAAACCAAATGGAATTAGCTTTTGCTCTTTTTTCTTTCGAAATATGAAGATTAAGTGGATTAAGCGATAAAAATCAGACTACTTTTTTTTAAAGGCTAAATTTTCATCTTCTTCTTATTGAATATTCAGCGAATCAACAATCACAGGTGTTTATTGTTACATTATAAACAGCTGTTTCGACATTCTATATGAAAGCTCGGAGTTTTAACGAGACGTAAAGTAATTAAAAACCAAAAAACACCAAAAATTAAAACAATTTAATAACAAATATGCTTTGGATCAAGATGAAATTCTAACTTCTTCGAAGTATGTTCTATTTTCCGTTCTCTAGAATCAGAAATATACGATAGAAATCTAATAGAAACGTGACTTATACCTTCTTATTTGCAGCTGAGGTTCAAAATTTTATCATATTTACATCTGCAAAAGCATAAACATCTTAATCGATAAATCTCACGAGATATTTGTTTGTGCAAAGTATTGCAAAGGGTCAAAATATTGTTTAGGTGCCTTAAAAAATTAATCTCTAGTGTCCAGCTGTGGTACTTCAGATTTACTATACATGTTTTTTTGCAACTTTTTAATATCAAAGCGAAAAACTACATATGCTCAAGACGACCAAAATTAATTATATAATTTTCTTCGTGTCGTAAATTTTATAAAATTTTCATTAAAAAGTTTACTGGTCTCCTCACAAAATACGCAAGGGTTTTTCTAGGCAATTTTTAGCCTTCAAGATTAATTTTCTAAGAAAAATTAGTGATTGTTTGCCAGGATACTGTTTGTGCGTTTTCAATATCCTGCCTTCAAATGACGAGAGCGTAAAATCTTAGTTTTAAGCGAAACACAAACCTACGCTAATTTTAATTAAATTCGCAAGTTTTTAGGATCAGGACTGTATGCAGTTATCCTACGTTAAACATTAACTTCCTTTCAGCAAAAAGTCACAAAAAACAGGAAATTCCCATAAAATTCACTCATTGCCTAGCGAGTAAATGTACACACAAAGCGCACTACTCTAAGGACCAAAACTAAACCGGTATTAATTAGCAGAGCAAGTAATAATCACTCAATAATTTGTATATATTATGAGTGAGATACGCTTGCGCTCTCGTAACACATCGCTCTAGCGATCATTCCTTTAATTTCGCTTAAGGAGTAAACATCTTACAGGGAGGGCAACAGCATTGAAAGCAAAGCTATTCTCAAATATTGTAAACTCTGTTAAAACAACGAAATAAAGAAAGAAAACAAATAAACAAATGTCATTTTCAGTGAATATGTTTAGTGTATTCTCTTGTTGTTGTTTTGATTACAAATATTCCTTTTGTTTTGGTAACTAAGCAACCGCAAAAACAAGGCGCGTTGTTGTTTATTTGAAATTTTTAGCGAAAACAAGGCATAGATTATTTTTTTTCAAGAAAATCACGAAAAAAATAAAAAAAATAAGACAAGTAAACCACCAAAAAACCTGTGCAAAATTTTGATAGAATTTGTGGAAACAAAATTTAGTTTTACGGAAAATTGTAGTGAAAAAAAGAATAAGGAAAACAGTAAAAAAAAAAAACAAACGTAACCTACACTTAACCTCGAAAACGTGTTAAGACCCGTTAAAAAAAAATCTCTCTTGCGGTGTGACCAAGAAATGCATACACTTAAAGAGGGTTCTACTACAATGTTACAACATCATCCCACCGCTTTGCCACCGCCCATGCGGCCGCGTATAAAGGAAGAAATATCTGATAATTTCTTTTATTCCCACAGTAACCCCATTGATAATGCTGCCGCCGCTGCGGCAGCAGCTGCTGCCGGTCTAATAGATCATAGTAGCCTTATCGCATCGTTAAATAGCAACGTGGCCGCAGTGAATGGTACTCTAACGACGGCGGTATTAAAGAGTGCCTCGGTTGCTCAACAACAACATCATCACCAACAACAACAGACAAATGCCGCTATCGTCAATAATCAAACGTCGAATCAACAAAATGTAAATGCATCCGTTAACAGTAATACAGTAGCCGCTGCTCAGCAGCATTCAGCAGCTCAACAGGCAACGTTAGCCTTATTAAATGGTACGTCTGCCAGCAATACGCAAACAAATTCTAATGCCTCCAATGTCAATGGTCAAACGAATCAACAGCAACAACAGCAAACAGTCGTCGGCGGTCAAAATGCCGTAGTAAAAGCCACAAATTCGGGACGATCTACCCCTAACAATAGTGTTAATGGTTCGGTGGCATCTGATCCTGCACCCGGTAAATTATTTGTTGGCGGCCTTAGCTGGCAGACGTCAGCTGAAAAACTTAAGGAATATTTCAATATGTTTGGCACAGTAACAGATGTGCTGATCATGAAGGATCCTGTCACACAGGTAAGAGCCTAGCGTAGCCAGTCAATTTGTAATATATTTTTTTCTTCAATTGTTTTTTTTTTTTTTTTTTTTGATATTTTCATTATCTTCTCTTTTTCTTAATATACCATAAAGCATATGCCTTTTTTCTGTTTTTGTGTTTTTTTTTTCTTTACCATACTTAAGGTATAAATTTACTTGTATGTTTTCATATGGAACGAACGATCCTACTAGTTTCAAGATCAATGAAACAATTCTATCCTACTTATTATAAATATATAATGCAATGTACGGTTAATGTTCAACAATTTCTTAAGCATCAAAAGCGACAGCTGGTTAACATGATCTTTAAGGAAAAAAAGAAAAAAAGAAGAACAAGAAAGGTCTCGTTAAGATATTTTCCTATGAAAGACTTACAATTCTTAAGAAGAATAAAGAAATATAAGGTAACAACAAACTATTGATTGATTACCAACGAAATATGAGCGCGTACCTGTATAAGAGTATATACAGCAATGTATTACTTTAAACGCACTTATACATGGTATTTAGAAAAGTTCCGCCTTTTAAACTAAACCTTATAGAAGGTCATCTTAAGTAAGTTTGTTATAGATTTTATTGCGCTCTACTAAATTAGTGGAAATCCTTGAAGAATATTTCGATGGTTCTTCTATCTTCAATATTTAAAATATAAAACGGAAATGGGAGGCGAATACTTTTGACTATCTAATCTCCATCGGTACAGAGTGGGAGGAAGGAAGCCTTTAATTTTATACAAAAAAATGGATCCTTTTTCTTAGATATTAAAAATATTCAATAAAATTTCCTTTGCAGTGTCTTAATAATTGACTGCAAGCCAGACTATGCTTGTAATGCATTTCATACTGTATGCATTTTTACCCACTTTTGGAATATATCTAAGAAAAATAAGTAGAAGCGCACTTCCTCAGCTACCTCTTGTTCGTAAGCAGCAAGAGATTCCGACACAATTTCATCACAAGTGCCAAATTCAGGAAGAGATTTCATAAGATTGATAGAATTTCGATCAGCGCAAGCTGTACGTGTCCACTGTTTGTCGTTGAAACGTTGACGGATGTAAAAATGCAGATGTACACCTATTTAATGGGCGTCGCAAATGCCATCCGCAACGGACAGAGATATGGCCGCATTCAATTACCTCGCAATAAGGAAAACGAACCTAAAAATTATATTGGACTTTGGTTTAAAGTAAGGGCGAACTACTTTTCACTGCGCAGGCGATTCAAATCAAAAAAGTGAATATTGAAGATTCTCTTCAAAGAGAGAAAAACTTCTTTACCTGTACCGCTTTGACATCAGTACGGATTGGAAAATACCGTAGCTGTGTCTCTCTGATTCTCTTGAATTTTTGTGCCAGATAGAAATGAAATGTTCGACAGTCTTCACAATCGGCTTCAACTGAATGAATTCACCCAGTCCCTCCTGCATTATTAAAATTTGTCTCAATACTCATTGAAGGCTCTAGTATTACAACACTTTTATAATTCATTCGTCACTCGCCTCTTAGCACTAGCGAGATGATCTAGAAACAGTTATCAAGAACGATACCAGATATTACCTATGAGTCAAATTTCAAATGAAAAGGATAAAAAAAAAACCTGTCATTTTCGTTTAGTTTTGTTGTTGTGTTGTAAAAAGAGAAAAAATTCGAGTTGTGTTAGGCAATGTGGCGTAGGGTATTTAAAGGTCGGCTGTAATGTTCTTACTTGTTTTCATTTTACTTGTAGGCAAAAGAGGAAAATCGGCGAAATAAAGGCGATATTTTTTTTTTCGATTCTTGAACAGAGAAGGAAATAGCATGCTAATGAAGAGGGTGGGTGGAGAAGGAGGGGGGGGGGGGGTCTTCTAAATTCCGACGGCACTCGAAATATCCCATTAGCTGAAACATTGGTAGTTAACAGAATGATAAAATCTTCACCTTTCACCTTAATAAATATAAACATCTTTGTATGACACATAAGTGATCCAATGCAGTTGAATTTTAAAGTCATTTTATTAATGATCATCGAGTGTCAAAAATAATAAACTATTAAATTAACAAACAGGTGACTCTTCAATTTCTTTGCTTCGTTCATGAACTGTTTGTTATTGTGTAGTTTTTAACGTAATCTTTTCGTTTTCTTATCACATGGACGAGTCTTATAGCACGAGCTGTACATATTATAAATAAACAATCGAAGAAGCCACAGCAACACACATCACATATATAAAGAAAAAAGCTATTTAAAAAATTTTCTAAAAAAAACGAAAGCCTTAAATAAAAAAATATAATAACGTTACTCTAACTGAATATAGGATATTAACATCAACAACAACAATAACAATACTGGCAGTAACAAGAAGGGGGGGGAACACATTTCTGCTTAATAACCGAAACGGCAGCTGCATTCATACTCCTCCCTAACTGCTACATTGTCAGCATTTAACTATACATGCATGCTTGCGCGCGTGCGTACGTGCGAGCGTGCATACGTATTGTGTGTGTGTTTGTATATCTACGTGAATATCCTTTTTAATACCATAGCAAAGAGAATTACGGGTATTTTGAACGCATCTGTTCCAAAAAAAAAGAAAAAAAAATTCTTTTCAATTTTACTTTTATAACTGAACGGGTTTGTTCAGCACAACTCGTAGAAGTTTTCAAGTTAACTATGTATGCGCATGTGCGTTTGCTTGTTTGTTGTATAAAAATTTAAATTTTCGCTTTGAGTAACCGTTTTAATGACCTATTATAGAATTTATATGATAGATAAATGAAAAAGAACATGTGCTGGTTAAAAAACAAGTTATAAGGAATTGTTGAACTTAAAAATAACACACAAAAGGCGAGAGACAATGAGTTATTTAAACTTTTCCAAAAAGAAACAAAAAAAAAAAAAAGTTGTTTTCTCTTCATTTTCATTGAAAATAATTTTAACTAGTTTTTAAGAATTTGATGAATAATATGATGAATTTCTCTGCTGAGTGTGTGTCCTTTTAAAAGAAAATCAAACAGTTATACTTTACCTATATATATAATACGTTTTACAATCAATTCTTCAATATATTATTAAAGACAAGAAAAAAGAAAGAAAGAAAAAGAAAAAAGCAGGGAAAAAACTTAAAACTGGATTTCCTGTCATTTTCGCTCAACAATTTATAATAATATGTGGCTAAGCGTTTGAAAAGCGAACCCAACGACCACGAACACAATCCTGAAAGAGTACTTATAGAGTCTTATAGACGATATATATATATATATATATATATCTATGTGCGCGCGCGCGCGTGTGTGTGTGTGTGTGTGTATGTGTATGTGCGTGCGTGCGTGCATGAACGTGAACGTAAAGGTGTCCATGTATGTGTTTACCTGGCCTGGAATGCATTATATAAAGCACCAGCGCAGCTGTTTGTTAAAACCTAATAATTTGCCAAAGCGGTAGCCGAGCAGCCTAGCGAGGAAATAGCAAAAAAAGAAAAAAAAGAACACACAACAGGACTCAAATGACACATGAAAGAAAGAAAACTGCAAGCTGCACTTAATGGTAAATGGCAACAACAACAACGATAACAACAAGCACAACAACAATAAACAGTAACATCAGGGGCACATTATGCGAAATATTCTACTGCCAAGACAACCCTAACTGGTATTTGTTGTAACTTAATCAACCGTAGAAAGATACACACACACATCTATATATAAATATATAAATAAATTCACATACACACACATTCTGCAAAGCCTATAGGTACCGAAAAAAAAAAAAAATACAAATTTATTTCATCCTTTCATAGTTATAGTTTAATAAATACATGTATATATATATATGTATATATATATATGTATATATATATATATATATATATATATGTTTAGAATTTTTTGGTTTGTGTTTTGTTCCTTCGTATACATACAAAAAATTTGGTATTTATTAAAAGCGGTCAGTATATTATATACATGTATAACACAAAAAAAAAAAAAAAAAATGAAAATATTGTAAAACTTCGATCGTATTATATACACATATACTATACAATAACGAAAACGTATATTTGACGCCTTAAGGCGAATTTTTACATATTTGCCACCCGTCCTGTCAACGTTTCACTCGCGATGATTTTGATGATTTTTATCCTGAGCTATTCGATAACATTGTATATTAGACGCAGATGTGTTTTGTAAATAGCACAGCGACAAAAAAGTACCGGGAAAATAACAATTTCTTAATTCATTCACTGGGCCCTTTTCATTGTTTGCTCCGTTTACAGGAGAAAAAGTTCGCAGAGGAAATTGAAATTATTTAGAAGTTTTCTATAGATGCTTAAAGAGAAGACTAGCATGTTTAGTCACTAATGATATCATTAGCTCGACTTTTGGCCTGAAACTGCTCAATAGGAATAAAAGAAATTGTATTGTTTAATGGGTTGCGTGTGCCACAGACTGCGTTAATATCGCAAGCCTATTCAGCAAGGTTTAATAATGAACCCCCTAAGCAATCATTGGCCTGATAGCGGCACCCACCCAAAGCGCGAGTTTGATGATAGCAGTGGGTAACTCAAATGATGCGAAAAACTCTGGCTCGGTGGTGGGCAATTGAAGGCAAAACTCACTCTTATCAGATGTGTAGATTCATGCTCGGAGCGCTCAGTTTGTTTTTTCACATTCTATGTGCTATGTCCTTCCGTGGGGGCAAATTTTTTCCTTTCTGATTCGCATCTTTTGTAATTATAAATAAACAGCTCCCGGTACTATACGATTAGGGCCTTTTACAGCATTTTCAACTATTTTGAAAAGAATTTTTGATCCTAATGCGAGCAGATAATCTGATACTTTTGAATATCTTACATGACGATTCATGGCACTTTTCCTGCTAGTTTTTACAATTCCAAATATAAAAATCCCGGTACATTTTGGTTCGAATACATTTAAAACGTTCACGATGGTCTGTTATCGAGATGGTGAATTTTGGAAGGACAATTCCCGTCACTTTTTGATCTTA